GCTTTCTACTACAGAATCTCACCGAATGACAGAAGTTTTTCTCCGTGTAAACATGATTCTCCTTAATGAAGCAAATACACTTTGTCATTGAATGTTCATAAGCATGAAACCCGGAACAAATAAGGCTTTTCACCTTTTAAATACTTACAAATTTATTGCTAGTGACACTGTTGCTTCTGTTAAAATGTTTATGATGTATGCTTGAACTGTAAATTCCACATAATCAGTTAAGCATATCATTTGAATCGCTTACTAATCAGTAGTATGTTTCATCATTCTGTTTCGCCTACTTTCTCGCTTACCTTTTATGGTATCAGTCAGATCATATATTGTCACCTGAATATCCTTAATTACCAAAGGATCGAACTATGTAAATTGTAAATGATGTGCTCTATGCAGAAGTCATTTCGTGTAGTAATATTACTGACTTCTAGATTTCAGTTCCAATCTATTTAAGATGCCCAAACTTTTGAAAGCTTATCTGAGTGGGCTAACCAATACTTTCTGTACAAAAATGCATCATATATTAAGTCTTTTACAGATTTTTAGTTTAAATTTTTTTTAACAAAGATGGTCACTATTGGTACCAAGCTGAATACTTCTCCATTTTGCTGCACTATACTTTGCTTTGTGCATGAGGCTAGCAAAACAACTCTATCGCTACTGAAACTTCAAGCTTGAAGTCCTATATTCCACTTAGAAGGCAAATGTATGGAATACTTGACTTAAAGTATAGAGAAAGTATTGAACAGAAAGTCAAAACTGTCTGCAGAAATCAGAATCTTCGAGAAATTAAGTTGAAGTAAAAAAACCCAAAGGTATCCTACTTTTAAGGGTCTCATATAAACAGATTATCAATAGTACTTATGAAATATGTCCATATCCTTGTCTCAAAAAAGTTGACGTATTGAATAAATTCTGGTACCAAATGACTAGTGCTTACACCAAAGGCTTGGATAAAACTTTTCATATTGATCACTATAGTGAGTCTGCACTACCACTATCATATAAAAGTTTTAGCTGAACTCTACTCAGTTGTGTCGGTGATGTTATGCCACTCAATTTACTTACTTAAAATACAGATTTGCTGAGCTAATTCAACATGATCACAGATATTAAACTGGTTCGCTGACAAACAATTTGTGGGAAAATTTGGATATTTTATGATTAATCTTCAATATTAAACTTTCAGTCATAAGTTGAAATCCATTACTGATGGCATAATCTCACTGACTTGTACCATGCTTTGTAAGTCACTGTGTGGGGCGTGTGCTACTGATAAGGTTTATCAGTAGTATATAAAGAGACGTTCATCGGCATACAAGTATCAAACAGAGGCGAGATACGTTTGAAATCAAAGACAGCGAATGATTCAGCGTTACGACAAAAAGTGAGAGGGAGACACGAAAAAGGGACAAAGAAACGCCATACAAAGGGCTGAAGTGGCATAACACGGAAGATCTGGGCAAATGACGATTTGGAGATAAGGTGTACGTAATCTCGCCTTATGGAGATACCGAATTTCGAATAAACATTTCTTTATCAAGTTTCTTGTCTTCCACCTTTACAGCAGTATCACTTCCAGTTTACCCATAACATTGAAATAGTAAAAAACGGCTAATACCGCTCTCCATTCTGCTTATTAACTTGGAAGTTATACAAAACATTTATTTTCAAGATCGACTTCGTATGGAATCGATATCATTTATAGGGTCATTGTAAACCGAAGGACCACTGGACAGATTTCTTGTTGTAGTTTCACTTTAAAAATGTCTGTTCAAACTTAGTGCTTGCCTACTGAACATATAGAAATATTTGAGTAAACCTACCAAAAGACAAATATAATTCTTCACAAGTCCAGAAATATAAATGACATTACTGTACACTGTACAATAAATATTATTTAATTTTCAGTAAACTAATTTACTTACGCGTAGATGCGTTACTTATTGTTTCTGCTAGTAATTTCATTGCCAGAGAATTGTAAAATACCTTATCAATCTACAAATGATATATATAAAGTTGGATATCATATACGTATTGATAAAATCTTCATTTCTGATTTCATTTTCATCTCAAGTTTGTTTTGATGGATGCTGGTGGTACAATAGAACCGAATCAAGTAGTAGAAGGCATAACAACACTCTTCAATCCACAAACCTATCATCTATTTCCAACTGGTGCAGCTGAACTAATGAAACCTCATCTACCTGACTGTTTAGCCTTTATATCAGATATTCATACCATGCACAAAGTAAGTCGTTTTCTTTTTAAAAATTTACCATTGGCTTCGTTTTTTTTTTCAAACGGGTTGTTTCTCTATTAGTGTTAAATATACTGAGATGGGATTATGGAGTTATGTCATCTCTGAAGAGGATGATATAAAAACTAAGGTTGCATCTTGACGAATCACATCTTGAAGAGTTCCACTGTCTATTGACTTTTTGAAGTAATCGAAAGCTGGATAAATACTAACAGATATAACACAGCCTAGGCTTCAAGATGAGAATTTAAACTTTAAGCCTAGGATTTGCAGATAAGGAAATGTGCGTCGGTGGCACAGAGGTAGAATGCTCGCCAAATTCGATGTGGTCCGGGTTTCGATCTCCTGCCGACGCACTCCTATACCTCGCTAAGCCAGTAATGAGACTGGTAAAGAGGGAAGGTTGGGCATGAGGCTAGTAACCCCATCCCATAAAAATAAACACCACTACTACCGAAACTTCAAGCCTCTACCTTGAAGTCCTATGTTCCACTGGGGACGTAAAGGAATAAATGAAGGAGACAAAGTGTAGCTGTTAATGTTTAAACGTCGTGATTTATTTTAACAGCAAACAGTGCAATTATAGGTGTGTGTATATGCATGTAATTTGGAAACATAGTTTATTCAAATATGTATCCCGGGTAATTTATCACCAAGCTTTATGAATTATTCAGCAATGTCCAGTACTCCCAGGTTTTCCAATGGTTCTCTAACCAATGTCAGCTCATGATGAAATCCTGTAACCAATCAACCAAATCCCTACAAACCAATACTTGAATATCAATGAGATGCTCACTGGCAACTGGCCCTATTCAGGTAGGTAGTTACCTGGGGTTCCAGTGGGAAGTCGTGATCATTAGGGTACAGCAGGTCGAGGGTGAGAGCAGTTACTCATCGAAGATATTGCTAAGCGGTCGCGCTATATCGTGAATTAGCAGAAGTTAGAATTCATGGGGTAGTAATTGAATCGGGTCCCGCGGGCTGAATGGCATACGAGCTTGCCTTATAACCGTAAGGTCCTGGGTTCAAACCCTAGTGGGTGCGTACTGTTGATGATTCCCAAACTAGGATGAAACTGCTATCCAATACTCCTCGTCGGCTTTCAATGGTTCTCTGACTGGTGTCAATCCATGATCAACTCTTAAATTTAGTTAATACCAAGGTATGAAGGGTGTAAATAGGTTTCTGCATTTGTATATGATACAAATCTCAAACGAGTAGAAAAAGGAGGTTATGAAATTATTGGCCGTAGTTACGATTAATATTTAGTCAAGTTATCCCTGAACATAGGAGATACAGCGACTGTACAAACTACTTCTTACGCGAAGCTCAGAAGCTCATTATTCACATAAATAAAACTTCTGTTTTAAGTAATTACTGTCATTTTAATCAGGCTTTGAAAGAAGTAGCTTATATTTCTTTTACAACGGAAAACGAAACCATACAATACACCATTTCCCTTCTATAGAACTTTAGTTTACTGTGATACATTGGGTGTTGCAAAACTTTTTAGACAACAGAAAATTCCGATCCAAATCTTTTGCAATTTTTCTGTCTGGTAAATCTATTATTTCTTTGAAAAAAGTCTCATTATTCGCCATTTTTGTCTGTACATTTATACACATACCTATCACTGTATCTTTTGGCGTCAGATTATAACATTCAGGTTTCCTAAAGTACGTTTGTTTAACTAAATAATATCCTCTTAATTTATAGGTTAAACAATCTCAGAAGTCAGCCGTTCAACTGAACAGCCTTGGATGTGGTCTTGGCTCCTCATCTGCAATGACTGGTTCTGGTGTATGTGGAGGTGGTAATAATGACTCCAACACACTAGGAAATAGTGGAGGGGCCTCCGGAGGTACTGGTACTGGTCTCTTCGGTGGAACGTTTAATCCCTCCGGAGCGTCTAATTCTGGACCTGGGGCTACGGGAACTAGCTCTGGCGTTGGATTAGGGGCAGGTATCCCAAGTTTACATGAAGATGTCTTAGGAGCACACTTGAAATCAGGCCTAGCTCAGTATGTCTCATTGGAATTATCAAGATCTAACAGCGGAGGCGATCAAGATGTCTTACCTCTGCTTGCACCTGGATTATTATCTGATATAAAGACTATACGAACTAATAAAACTGCAGCACCTGGGTTACCTTCCCGATCAAAGACGTCCACTAATGTAATAGGATCAAATGTCGCTTCAGCTGGAACATCCGGGAAGAATGTAAGCTTATTGACAGAAAGTGGACATATTACTAGTTCCGAGCATACAACTACACAAGTAAAAACTAGTAAGACCAGTGGATTAATTACCAAACAAAGTGACACTCATCCAGATCCAGCAATTATAGTTATTACCCAACCGGATGCAGCTACTCCAACCATTTGTAAATCCAGTGATACAGATCACCCTCGTTTAACAGCATCGGCCTCGACACCATCAGGCAAAGGACTAGATGGTAGCACTCCCAAACTACTGGCCCCTTCGCTTTCTAGTCCACCACTAGGAAGTTCATCTGATCAAATTTCTTCTACCACTGCTTCAGCATGCACATTAAATTCAACGTCACCAAATTCTATTTCTCCTACAACATCTACCACTCCTATAGTACCTAGTCCCAATCTGACTAGTCCTCGTCAACCAACCTATGCACATGTTATGTTAGCTCCACCACTTTTGCATACAAGTCATGCTGAAGCACCTATACTACAATATTTACCATGGTTAAAGTCTACTCCACCGTCGTCTCAATTAGGGTAAGTCAAAATCTGATTTTTCTAGATACACAATATTAAACTGTTTAAATGTCAATTTGGTTTGGATGGTTTTAAGTAGATTTTTATATTTACTGCTGTCTTTTAGTTAAACAGGGAAGAAAGATGCTATAACTTTAATTAATATACACCGGAAATATGTGGTTTACAGGTATATATACATATATATAAGCTATGATAAATATACCAACCCTTGTATTATTACAACAAATTTTATTCTCTTGCGAACTGAATGGATAATCCTGAATTCATCCTTTAAACCTAAGGCAAATAGTTCATGTAAGCTTTGTTCAGTGTTTGGTAGAATATTTTCACAAAATCCTTTGAGCTAAATGACTACCAGAAATTAGATATGGAGTGAATTTGTATAATTCGATGCATATATGAAACAATATAATTGCAGAGCATTACCGTACGGTTTGACCTGAGCTTCTGCGTGTAAAAAATTGCATTCCGAAGGAGCTGGGACCAGATTTCTGGCCAAACCTTTCAAACACAAAGAATTCAGAATAGTGTGACTTCTTATGTTTGATACTTTTTACTACTTAGTAGTATAAAGAGCTGGTGGATTTAGTGCAAATATTCATACAAATATCCCTACCTGTTTAAGTCAACACATTTGTTATATACCCAGAAAAGATTAACTAAAAATAAAGAATCTAGAGATATCTAGCAAAGTGAAATAGGACAGTCAGTAGTAAACGAATGTATGTGAATGAGAAAAACAAACATAAAGTAAGAATATATCAGAACATTGTGTCTATTAAAATCTTTATACTCTTAAGTCTGATGAAGAAGATATATCTGACTGTCAGACCATCGTGCATACAACAGGATTCTATCATTTTACATTCCACCATGAACTAATAAATAACTACATATGTCAAAGTCTTAAAGCAAATAATAATAATAATTATTATTATTGTTCCCTTGGGTTCCTAGTGGAACATAGGGCTTCAACTACACCCCTCCATTTGCTTCTGTCTTCTGCTGTACTTTTCACCTGCATCCATGTTAATCCATACTATTTCAACTCCTCTTCACACGATTTCCTCCATGTCACCCTTGGACGTCCCACTCGCCTAGATTACTAGCTCGCTAGTTTTCTAGCCGGTCCCAAGCCTAGATAAAGAGGGAGGGTTGGGGCATGGTGCTAGCAACTCCACCCCCAAAACTTAACCAAATTGCTGCAGAAACTTCAACGCATAAATATATTAAAGCAAGTAATTAGTTAAGTCTAATTCATCTTGTGGTTATCCGAAAAACTACAATAAAACTGAGGGAACTTTTGTTCTCTGTAGATATTTTTCTTCCCGAGATATATTATGTTATTCAATAAGCATCATCTTAATTCTATGTGTATTGGTTTTATTTATTTTTTTCTTTCTATATATCTATAAAGACCAAAAGATTTTCTCATCATGGTTGAAAGAGTTCGTACATTGTCTTGGCTATTACTCGGTGCAACAATGAATATGGCATTAACACGTGAAGCGACCGGTTTATCTTGTCGTCCTATACCATTCAGCTTAGTTGTTTCAGTAGCAGATTTAGTCAAGGCTTTATTAAGTGGATTTCCTGACCAACAGAAAGTAAGTTGAATTTGATTAAAAGGGATAATATCTAATCTAGAGTAATAATAATAATAATTTGCTTTATTCCAGAAAACAGTACTAGTGGTACAGTGTGGAATTTTCAGCACATATCTACAATATTTGCATCTAATTTTACAAACATTTAAAAGGAGTATTTAACAAAAAAAAATAAAAATAAACCTAAAGACACCAACAGCAAAAAAGTAAACAGGATAAACACAAAAATAATTATAAATGCGAAAAAATACCAAGAAGTAGAAAGGAAAATAAACATTATTTAATAATAAATCAAAACAAATGATTCAGCGAAGAGACTCTTTTCAACGAATTTATCATCAAGCTGTACAATCGTATATATATGGTTTTTTAAAAAGTTATATCCGGTGAGGGAATTGATACATAGGTGTGAATGCATGAAATAATAATAATATGAAATGTAATTAAAACTAAAATGTTTGTGATTATAATCGTAGTTAAATGTCAAGTGGCAAAGCAAATTAATGTCATATATAGAATAATTCATAGGATGGATAGAACTTGAAAAAGGTGTGCAATTATAAGATTAGTAGACAAATCAAAAAAACTTCTTAAAAACCATATATATACGATTGTATAGCTTGATGATAAATTCGTTGAAAAGAGTCTCTTCGCTGAATCATTTGTTTTGATTTTCTATATGTTACAATGGGAATTTTCCATGATATAATAATAACTCAGTATTGGGTAGTGGAAGCTATAATATGATTATGCATGGTGACAGTAAAGCTATAGTCATACAAGAAGTTATGAAATGATATTTAAGAATGTTTATCGCCAAGATGGTCAGTTAATTTGGTTGAAACAACTCTAAACAATCATAAAATAACATTTCAGGGTTGTTGTTTTTTTTTGTTATTGTCAGGTCTAATTCAATGTTTGTAGTGGAAGTGTGAGTAATCCTGAATAATACAAAATTTTTTAAGGTGATGACTATGGCGTTCACAACCAATGATTGTCAGTTTAATATTGTCGAAAAGTATAGAAAATAAAAAAATAAAAAAACAGCCACAAAACTAATAATTACATGATGGTTAATGACAGGACAATTTTGTAGTACTCATAGTGCTAATAGAGTTCGGAACCAGTGGATACACAATAGAAGGAGTATAGTAAAGTACAAAAAAGGAAGCCAATATTAATAATTTAGGTAGCTAAGTATGTTTGAAGAAGGAGTTCACTATAGAATACAAAATAAGAGAGAAATAAAAGAGCCTAAAATTGTGTTGTTAATAACAAAGCAAGTCATAGGTTTCACGCTTAACATTGTCTCTGTCGCTTAGAACACAGGCCAAGTATCGTATCGTTGAGTTCCTGTACTTGGTTGTGCGAGCATAGATTTTTATATAATATATTCAAGCACATATTTTAATAATCTGGTATACTGAATTGTTTTCTTTTTCAGTATACTACTATCAAATAAATATTACTCCTATTTTATGTGCATTTTCTAAATGTTACATATGAAATTAACCAAGGTATTTTATGTAACCCGGTGAAGTGATTTTTCTGGTAAAAGCTTACACTCCATCTTGAGTTGTTATAAGTCAAGGGACATTAGCGATAAGATTCTAACCTAGGATATCGGGAGTAATTGAATGTCCCTCATCATGGATGTACACTGTTGGAGAGTTTTAAATTGAAACAAAGCAACTGTTTGGTGCTCCTTGGTTTTCAGTGGTTCTCTGAATAATTTCTGTTGGTGAAAAAAGCTACTTTGATTTTCCCTGCTTGTTAATTGGTGAAAGAGGGAATTAGAATACTTCAACTCCAATGTGAAGTCAGTGCTACAATACGGGTTAGAGACTTGGTGCTGCGTCACAAAGGGCACTTCAAACATACTACAGACCTTCATCAACAGCTGTCTTCGCTCAGTACTCAAGATTAGATGGCCAGAAAAGATCAGCAGCAAGGAGGGATCTCTGGGAGCGAACCAACGCAGCAGGAATCAGTTGTGCAACAAATATGCAGGAAGAAATGAAGGTGGATTGGCCATACTCTGAGAAAACCATAAAGTGAGTGACATCAAACACCAGGCCATCGCTCGAGTGGAACCCGAATGGGAAGCGTCGAGTTATTCGTCACTGTGAGCGTGGGGTGACATGGAGGAGGTCATGTGAAGAAGAAATGAAAGCATGTGGGCAGTCGTGGATCCAAGTGGAAATGTTGGCAGAGAACCGAACGCAATGGAGACGTTTGGCTGAAGCCCTATGTTCCTCTAGGAATTAAAGGAAACAATAATAATATGTATAGTGAAGTGTTTGTTGTAAGACCTTGTGCTTTTAAAGTGAGGTGACAATTCAAAACAAAGAAGCAATTCTTTATAATAATATTATTATTATGTTATCTGAAAAGAGATAACGAAATATGGCCCATTGCCTGAAGGATTCGATTCACAACAACTGAGTAACATTGAAGATTATTTTTAGCACACTTCGAAAGATGGTTGAATAGGCCCTCACACATAACATATATCATATAAGTTCAGTGCAGGAAATACCTTTACCATGCGAATGAGTGGCATTAATGTCTATGATCTCATATATCGTTCCCTAACATGTATCAGCTGAAGTTGACACACTTCTAAGAAGCACGCAGAATGAGGGAAACAAGTGTTATAGACAGACATGGGTATCAGGAAGAAAGCAATTCAATTACAATTCAATTAAGCTTTTGACATTCTAACTAGGAAAGGATATTTGTTAACCACCATGAGAGATATTGATCCGTTCCATAGAAATTCTTCAATCATCGATTCTTAGCATTCCGCGATTCCTAGTCAGGCAATCTACATTCACACCAGTAGTCAGTGACCTCATGGATTAGTGAATAATTCAATTCAGAACAAAAATGAAAAAAGTCTCCAATAGTTTATTGATCTCCAGTTAAATATTACGCTTATTTGTGTCTTCACTTTACGACTTTATAAATCACAAGAAAATAAGCCGTCTTATATTTCTCGCAGCGATAAAAATAACTAGATTTTTTTTTATTGTCATTTGTATCTATCCAGAAAGCAGTGAAATCAGTGTTACACAAGTATACCAAGTAAACTGCGAATTTTAGTGGTTTCTTGACTTTTAGTTTAATTCAATTAATTTTCCTTATGTCACATCATTTTCGAAAGTATTTGATCGTTTTTGAATCGTATCTCAGTATAATAATCTAATTTATTTCATGTGTGTATTTTCCTACCCTATAGATCTTTGTTTTTCTTATCACATGATATCAGTTGGCCTTATTGATTAAGTTTGATTCTTCGTCTTATTTCCTTTAGTCTTCCACTTTACCGATACTTCTTGCAACTGATTTCAGAGCTTTCTCTAATTGTAAGCCATAGGTTTATTGAGTTCGATTCATATGAAGTATAATTTCATCATGAAATGACACTAACCGAGGAAACACTATAAACACCATAAAAAACACTGGACATCTCTTTCTCCCTCGGTTCGAGATACCTCTACAAATTGGATTCATCATGAAATTAGTCCAGAATGGGACAACTGCAGAACTACCTTTTCCAATGCTTTGCTAGTTATAATGTGTCTTTGTGATAAAATCCACTCTTGATTCTGCAATTTACTGAACTCTCTTTAAAGTACTAACTTATTTTAATCAAGTCTATGAGTGGGTAATTAGTATGAAATGACCAAGTTTGATCTTATGAGTAACAAAACTGTTAGCTTAAGAATATGAGACCTTTTCCTTTGCCACTGTAGAAATTTTTCGAGTTTAAGGTACTTTAATCTTTACTTCTTATAAACTGTCACACAACAGCTCTTTAGGAAAAATGTTAATAGATTTTAGAACAAAATAGAATTGTTGTAGTTTCTAAAGCTTTTGGTTAATGAATAGTTTAGTGTAAGTCAACGGTTAATATGTTAAAAACCGATCAGCACTGAACAGGTGTTTCGTCCTAGCTTGAGACTCTTCAGTGGTAATTACCAGTGACCTCACCAAGAAGCGAATGATTCTCTAAGTGATATCGATTCTTGACGACATCTAGATCGAAATTAATCAAAATCCCTACGAAACTATTTGTTCATCAGTAGTGATTTGCTGACATGCTGATCGGAGAGTAATACTAAGCTTTTTACGTGTTGTCGCTTATTAGCGGGGTGTATCTACAGTCACACTAAAGACCTTACCAACAGGTTATTCGTGTTATTATTTGCCTTTCGTAATCAAGCAAACTAAGAATGTACACGTATTAAGAATTAAGTTACTTACAATTTAAACTTGAAATTCAATCTCAACAGTCATTTTTATTTGTCATCAAATTAAAATACCATCGAGTTAATTTGTTTTGAGAAACTGTAACCTTGGAATTTACTCATCTTGAAATTCTGAATTCCTACTAAATATGAATTAACAACATTTTGTGCAAGTTATCCCATTTTTTAAATCTGTTTTTTGTTTTCAGCAATCTGTTACTGTGATGTCTTCATTGTATCATGTGTTTCTACTGTGTCAAGTAAGCATTTTCCTTATCATAATCACCTTTATTTTGATTTATTTACAATAAAATAGAAGCGGAAATTTAATGTTTAAAATATCCCAGGACAAGAATATCCTTAATTAACAAATACGGAGTTGATAAATGATAATTGTTTTCTGAGATTAGATATTTCAAGATGAGAAATTGATTAGGAGACTAGATGACTTCTTCAGTACTTCATTTCTACTTGAAGTCAGTATCGATGAAAAGTATACGACCAAATACCATCGATACTATTTATTTTATTTGACCTCGGACTTCCCACTTGTCATTTCCCATTCGAGTTCTGCTCGAGGTTCCGGCGCGCAGTGTCACTCAAAGGTCGTGTGTTCGATCCATCCCCATTTTCTTCAGCATATTTGTTGAGCAATAGGTTCTTGATTGGTTCATTCCCAGAATTTCTTGTTACCCATCTGACCATCATTATCGGAAGAGGGCAGCTGTTGATGAAATTCTGAAGGCTGTTGGAAATGCTTTTTGCGACACGTCAGATTTGTGAACCATATCAAGGCGATGACTTAACGTTAGTGCTGAAAATCTGATTCCGATTTCCGCAATGATTTCAGACTAATGAATTTCTGTCTCGCTTTTCAGATCCTGTCTTTGACATGCTCATCCGATCAGCCTGTAGTTAAAAGTGACGACTTCCTTCAGTTTTTCCCGTTCTTGATGACCTCGCCTAGTTTACTAACCTGTCTTAAGTTCGGAAAAAAGAGGGAAGGTTCGGCTAGCGACCCTACCCCAGAAAATCAATCTATTCATTACAGAAATTTCAATAAGTTTTACTTAGTGCTTATTAATTTCAATTAATTGACAGGATTATTGATATCTTAAATGTAATAATGTTGCCCAATGAAATAATAAGTCATTTAGACAGAATTAATTATGGCTGCATTGGTTATATAGAATCATCATTATTATGTAAATAACTATTGTCTTTACTACCATAGCAATATTTCGGGCACTGAAGTTGTGCAATCCTTATCTTTTGAACTAAGCGTATCATCAGTATAATAAAATGTACTATAGTTAGCTTCGACGTGCTATTACCAGGAAACACAAATCCATTAGAGTAGTCTTATAAGTCTTATGAGTGGTATAACTCTGATTGCTTAACTATTCCGAGACAAAAATCAAATTTTTAATGACTTGTTATCATTGAAATTCAAGAACATTATCTATCTAATAGCTAAATGCTTCTTCTTATTTAATCGCATTCGTAATATTAACGTTTAAATTATACCATGAATGGCAAATGGATTAGAAAGGTGTATCACCAACTTCGTTGTTAATATAAGTATAAAACTTGGGCACTGTGGTAGAGTATAACTCCATTATGGATAAGATTTTACTTTGATAAATCACACAGTGTTACACAGTAATATTAACTGATGACGTTTCGAGCACAAATTATTGCTCATAATCATATCAAGTTACCTACACAACTTTTTCCTTTATATATATATATATATATATATATATATATATATATATATATATGGGATTGACTAGATATTTAAATAAAAATCAATATAAGATAATGTACATTCAGAGATAATAATATGAGTGTTATTGATCAATTACAATCAGATGGAAAATAAGACGAGTTGTTAATAGATAAAGATATTTACATACCTCACAATTTACTCTTGTTCTTCATATTCACCTAACTTAATTAGTTAACTTAAAGATAGAGGATATCAATGCTGCAATACGAGATATAAGAGGAAGCTGAATAGATATGATTACAAAATACTGTTAGTATTGTTGAACGACAAACAGATATGTAAACTTTCAGTGTAGATTTCGTCATGAACCAACATCAGTTAAAGATAATTGAAAGTGCCAGCACAGTCTCAAACTGGGATAAAACAGCTCTGTTCAGTGCTCCCTGGTTTTCAATGATCTCTAACTGATGTTGGTTCATGACGAAATCTGTATTGAGATTAGTCCAGATTCCGACAAAAACCCAAAAGTGACAGGTTTTTGAAAATCTCTGTAATAATTAAAGCATAAATTACTGGGGATCATCTTCATGGGTAATTTCAAAATGAAGGGCTATGAACGCTTCGCAATTTATATATATATATATATATGTATATATATATATATATATATATGTACATATATATATAAGGTACCATACAAGTCACTTTACTTGTTACTTCCCGTAAGACGAAAGTTGGACACTTATAGTGTCTATTTTAAAAATTTGGTACAAGTTAACACTATAATTAATGATACATTGAAAGTCACCAAGTAGCATCAGGTTAATTTTACAAACTATACTACTTATTAATAAACAGTAATATTTGAATAATCACTAGAGAATATTTTATTCAACAAATGTAAACTTGAGTTCGCTTACAGAATTTTTTTTCTACTTTCCTCTGTAAAAATACATTTTAAGGTATGGACTATTTATTGTGAAACAGTTGCCAGTCTCTCACCAGTGAATTCAAATCAACATAAAGCTGCTATGGCTACAGCATTTGATTTTTGGATAAGAATAATGCCAACTGTTTTACGCATATTATCTATTTCTGAAGATGTAAGCTAATACTTTCTTAAACAAATATTTTCATGATTTATATTTTTCTTTTTAAATTATTGAGGCTTTTATTAAACTGTTGCGAATTAACTCAATGTAGGTATTGAATGCTATTCCTACTAAACATCTCCAAACAATAAGTACAATGAATCTTTTGAGGCATAAATTAAAGTGTAGAATCTAACTGATTTATCTCAACATTAATACAGTCATTATTTCCAGTCGGGGATTACACAGATGAACTCTTCAAATTTACAAGTTGTTTCAAAAGAGTTTCAACCACATATCGGCATCAGCCAAATCCTCAGATTTTCAGTTCTACTTTAAGATGCGTTGGCAATGTACATCCACAACCTGGAAAATACGGAAGTAGTAGGATTCCGCATAAAATAGTATATCATCCTTTCTCATGCATATTGTGACTTGTATGATCAATAATTTCTCACGGCTGTGAGCCGACTTTATTGTTGTAAAGAAAATGTATAAATATCATGTCTCGTTTTCCTAATAAATGTACAGTACAGCATCTTACAGTCAGAGGCCAACCTTTTGATATTTGCGTGGCTCATTGAATCGGAAGCTACAACGGACAAACAGGCATATTAGCGTACTAGTCGAGTTCATTACCGTTATAACAATCAGCAGACGCAGGTATAACAAACAAGCGACGGAGGTCATTAAGTTAGTCAGTGAACTACAACGCAATAATCTGTCTTTTATAATTCCTCCCAATTTATGAGGTGATACAGCCACTGTTCAAAATCGTTGGTACGAAATTATCTTTATACACAGTTCAAGATCACACTGAAATATCCTTAATTTTTTGTAGTAACATTCATTCAATGTCTCTGTCATAGTGTAATGACTGTCTTATTCTCATCCAACCTTCAAAGAAACTAATCCATCTCATATAATCCTGGTTATTTCATACAGTTGTTCTTTTATCTTCTGATAACTTAGTGATAACTAAATAACAAAGTGGCATGACTGTTTACGGTATAAATTCTGTTACACACTTGCTTCATTGAACTGGACGCAAATATACTTGTAAAAATAAACTTTAAATCAATTACACCTTTTAATAACTCCCCTGTGTCTATTGAAGACAATCTAGATCAAACATGATCATCTCTAACGGATGTAGGATCTCTAAAGGATGTTTCTATGGGACTCTAGGACAAGTTTAAGAATTTATTCACAGATATCTTTCTCTTATTAATCTCAAAGCACATTAAAAAACTTCATAGTATTGTTGACAATCATTGATTCTCATGATTATAAACTGTAAGTATACGCTTGACTACCTAAAAAAATCACCAATATAAATTAACATGAGAACTTTAAATTTAAAATATTGCTAACTTTAACGGGGAAAATGCACGTAGTTTAACATTTTGTTCTTTTTATACATATATGAAACTCTTTGAATTTTCCTTTTTTTATTCTTATAGTTTGTAATTGTTAGCGGTCGCCTGTTAACTGTGATTGAAGAGCTTATTGAATGTCAATCATCTTTGGTTTCAAAGGTAATTCTCAAGTGATTATTATTATTATTAAAAATACAAACTTGGTACATTAAGGACAACAAGAGATGCGCCACGTAAAAGTAATAAAACAGAAATATTTAAAGAAAATGGGAATAAAATAAGTGAGGGAAGTCATCCAGAAAGGAAGCAAGTATACCTGTTCATGATTATTCCTCATTCATCACCTTGTGTTACTGTCAAAAAGTGAAGAAAGAAGTAAATCGATCCATGTGCGCCAATGATTGAGATTCTTGGCTGAATCTGATAATGTCTGAAGTCACCAATTCGAACCATTTCTCAGACCTTAACCAAGGAGTCGTGAATGTAGCAACTGATACCTTAATTCCACGGCATCACGTCTTAGGCTGATCACCTCTGCTTTTTCTATCCAGACCCAGGACCGGTGGACAGTAACCGTTATGGAAGCCTCTGGATGATATTGGTAGCACATGGTTAAGCCAACGAAGCCGGTATTCCAAAATGACCGCACTCAATAAATGGTGATCTCTACCGAGTCCAAACACGCCACCGGACCACAGAATTACTTACACAATGATGCTGTCAGACGCAAGTAATCATGGTTGGATACACAGAGTTGCAGCATATTCTTAGCGCGGAAAGGCAGGCTTTACAGGATACAAGTTGTACGGGCTATATTGTATATATTAAACTATCTTAATGGAACTGTGTATGTCCAATATGTGTGTAATGAGTCAACTGTTTTTTTTTAAACTACATAAATAACGCTTAAACCGAATCGGATGCAGTGGTTATGGTGTTTTAACTTACTGCTCGCATACATAACGGAGTAAAAGAAATCTGTCAAAAAATACACTGTGAATAAGTTAACTTAGACTTCAAAATGCTAGAAATTTAAAGAATAATTTAAGGCGTCACAATTCTACCATCTTATTTAACTCGCGCTTTATACACATTTAAATTTAACTCTAGTATATACTAGACATACAAGTTCATATTTATATTATAACCACGTTCTTTTCTTATGCAATTAACCTTTTTTTACGTAAAGTACTAACTAGTAATATTCATCATTTTTGCAAATTTTATCTACATCAGTTAGAATTAATAGAAAAGGTGAAGTAAGATTGATTGCAGGAATACTTGTAAATAGACTATGCACAAAGAATTTACTTGCTTGATGAATTAGTATTACCATACGTGTTTATGTATTCATTTATAGAATTTTTATAAATTTCATTTTCAAAATTAACTGTGAAACCAGATGATTAAAGAATATCCTATTCATTATAATAAAGGTTTTTGTATTTCCCAATGAATGAAAAACAAAACGATATTGTTTTTACTGACGTTTCGCTATTTAATGCTAATAGCTTTATCAAAGTATTATTAAAGAATATCCTATTCTAAGTAATAAGTTTTATCATCCTCTTTTTTTCTCTTACAGCTGTTTACTTTATGGATACCTCTTCTTCATGGAAGGCATAGACAGGTATCAACAACCATTTACTTCACGGTTTTTTTTCTGTAATTATGAGTCCATTAGGATTAATCACTATCATCCTTTATCCTTCATTTTCCAGAGTTATATTTACTCTCAAAGATGTAACTTTCTTTCACTCAAACACGTAACCCCCCCCCACGTATTGAGGTTAATGAAATCAATTTGTGGAATTAGAAATCATTTGAAATGAAAAGTAATTATAGTTGCCCAAAAACGTAATTATATCACGTATGGTTTCATACAGTGTAATATATTTTAATCCGATACACGTATTAGTCCCCTAAAAACAGTACATAAATAGGCGTTTTTCCTAGAAGTATGAAAAACATCAACTGAGGGCCATGAAGTGCTGAAAAATCTGCAACAGATGCTTGGACTTATTTATCAGTCAGACCAAATTCTTCACATACATTCCTGAAAATAGCTTAGAATACACTATAATAATTGACAGTCTTTGGTCTGGATGAAAAAAAGATAAACAACTGCTATCAGATAGCCATTATAACACTACTAATCCAGAGTAAAGATTTATTGACGAAAGATATTTTACGTAGCACATTTCAGCGTGAATATAACTGCTTGCTTTTTAACACTGTCTACACATGTATTCCTCGCCCTGTCGTCCATTTCAGTGGTAGAAAATGTAAGAATAACACAAACCATTACTACGAACATATATATGTTCCACATATCGATCCACTGTCTTCTGGGGAAAACAGTGTTAGCAGGTGTGAACCTGGATCAATAGGCTGTTAGCGCGGACCCTAACACCACTCAATGAAGTATGGAGCTGTTGCTCTCAACCATTTTGGAAAGTATGAATCAGGGTTTTAAGAAATCAACAACCAAAGATTATAGACTAGTAGTAACATAACTAACGGTCCCCGTCACGCAGTGGATAGCGCGTCGGACTTCTTTTCCGGAGGTTGCTGGTTCGAATCCTACCAGAGGTGAGGTGTTAGCCTACTTTTAAGCGTTGGTGGTTCAGTTCGCCAAACATGCATGTGGTCCAGGGTTCGATCTGCGTCTGACGCACTCTTAAACCTCAATAAGCAGATACTAAGGCCAGTAAAGAGGGAAGGCTGGGTGTGAGACTAGCAACCCCACCCCGTTAAAAATAAAACTACTGCTACCGAAAATTCAAAGCTCAAGCTTGAAGCCCTAGGTTCCACTGGGAAAGTGAAGGAATAAAGCATAATAATGAAATAAAGTCTGTCTGTGTTCGACATAGAACTTGGCACATATGTGCGGCAGTTCAAGTCGCCACACTCCCTCCTTGTAGCACACAAAGCAAGAGAAGAAAGTAGGAGAAATGCTTATTAGAGACAGTAAACAGACGTGTGAGACAGAGGAATAGTAATCACGAAGAACAAAACAGTCTCATTGGAAATCATAAGTCACAAGAAGTGGATGCATCTGCACCAGGCATTGACAACGATTTTGAGCCATGTCACCTATTGTTTCCAACCATTGGCTATTACCGTCCCGAGGACCCCAACCAGGAAGTCTACACCTTCCTACGTGGCTTAGACTAACTGTTGTGGATTTCATTGACTGGTGCCATGTTTTCGTTTGACCGCCGCTAGCTCTTTTCCAGCCTGACCCTATATCAGCTAACATTGCTTATTGTCGAGGAAGGCGATGACTAGGCGTACGTAACACATGTCCTAACCATCTTAGTCGATGTAATTTCACAGTCTTGTCGACTGATTTCCCCTCCTTACCTAGCACTCGATGCCTAACCTCAATATTGCTCACCTTATTATACCACTTCACACGGGAGATAGAAAGCAGACACATATGATCAAAGACAACTAGCCAGGCTTTTCATGTCTTCCACTCTCAATGGCCAGGTCTCATAGCCATAAAGGAGGACGGAGCGGACTGATGAGCAGTACAATAAAATAAAGTGACATAATTTACGCTGAAATAGATATTTCCAAGTGTTGATTTGCAGGGATTTGATTGGTCACAGATTTAATTACCGGCTGACATCAGTTAGAGAATCACTGGAAAACCAGGGAGTACTGAGCAGCTGTTTCGTCCCAGTCTGGGACTCTCCAGCAGTACTCACCCACAAAGGTTCAACCCAGGACCTTTCGGTTAGAAGGCGAGCTGGCAGATCATCTCCAATAGTTCTATAACTGATGTCAGCTCGTAATCAAATCTGAATTAGGTATATTTACTATTCTAGGAAGTTTCAATGCTTAATGACTGTGGTCAGTTGGAGTGATACACTATAAGTCCCTGCATTCGTCTGCTCTAATTTACACTTTCAGAAAATTTGAAGTCTTAAGATTCTTTGAGATTATAGTGGGAAGTTTTCCACATGAGTATGAATACTGACGGGTTGAAATCAGATAGTTTACATGACTTACGGTTTTATATAAAGACGTGCAGATATAAATTGATGTAATGACATATGCAATTAAAAGGCAGATAGAAGTCAGAGTCTCTTGTATTCAAATGCACTTAACCACAACATCAGAACTCGTACTTCATAAGCTCAATTAGAGTAATATTTTGTAAAGTACCAATTAACTTGAAATATCTTTGTTTGATATATGTACTAGATGGTCAGGAAATAATACTGTAACACGTCTGATAAAATATTCTGGTCTAAAGCAGTGTGTATGTTTTTTAATACTCTTAGTTTTTGGTCCTTTGGAAATTTATGAAATGCGACTGGAACCCAAAGTAGAAAGTAACTAACATGATAAATCTTTTTATTATTTCTTGTAGCTACCTGGTAACATGCTTAAACGTCTACAAAAATGTATAGAATGGGAACCTCCTGAGCCATATAATCGATTGCTGCTGTTGTTGTCTATACCTGATCCACTGATTAACAATCGTTTTCTATCAGGAACAACAATGGGTCATTATGAAAATCCATCGTCTACAAATATTATTGGGACAGGAAGTACATTCCCATCATCAAGTAATGAAAAAGCATTAATCCATCCAACTAATTCCTCCTTACCAGGATGGACTGAAAGTTCTTTATTAGCTTGTCAGTGTAATTCCTTAATGGGATGTAATTTAATTTCAAAATCATTGAAAGAATGTCTCACAGAAGGTGTTAATCTAACTGGTAATGCACAATGCATTGGACATGCATTAGCTCCAAGTGCACCTTATGCTAATGATGGAACATCTGATGGTATTGGATTAGAAGCTGGTGCTATGGGTTCAGATCTACTGACGAGTCGTTTAGTTGCATGGTTAAAAAAGCATATATTTGTACTAGGACGTAATGAAGACCAACACTCTACAGCTACACATATTTTCGTTCATTAAAATCAATTCTAATGATTCCAGTTTTTTGATTGATCGTGTGTATGAATATATTTTTGAAATACTGTGATGCAGATTTTCTCAGATCTATTCACTCGCTTACTCATTCCTATATCCTTATCATGTATATTATCAAGATTAGAGAACTATAAATGATGATAATAATAATAAACATACTACGCAATTACTTGATTTTCTTTAATAAACTTAAAATGAACATACACCAAAAGTAAACACTTAAGATATGTCAACCAGAATTCTGTAACTTAAAGGATTGCTTATCATCTTATTAAATGTTTTGTTTCACTAAAACGAAAACAAGCGTATGTTTAACTCTTGCATTTTTCATTCGCCACTTCAGTTAATATTATGCAACGAGTCAAAAGTTGATTTCTAGGTTTGTTACACAATATCTCCATACAATGATGATAGTCACCACTTGCCGATCTATAACAGTCAATTCCTGACATATCGTAAGCTTCAAGCTTCGTAAAATAAAGTACCACGTGGATTCAAGCAGGCTACTAACATTACAGTAGCCAATTACCACAAGTTATGCACGTAACCTAATTCCCATGATTTTCACATTCAACGCGAAAATAGTCTGTAAAAACATCACTAAAATGCATTTATTACTGAACAAAATCATATGTTTCTATTTTTTAAGGCTGTAAATAAGTCATGATGCAATAAAAAAAATAAGAATCTTGTGAATTTTTACAATGTACAATCGATAACATTGAAGAAACCTGAAGACTCATGAAAGTTTAGAATCTCTCATACGAGATGAACGAAACTGGGAACATCGTTTTTTCTCAGTGTTTACAGTAGACGAAGAAGTATTTGGCTCTGTGGGCGCAGTTGGTACTCGTTCACATATATCACCGAATGGTTCTACTGAAAGTATTTTACTATCACCTTGTATTTTACACAGCTCATCGGCGAAATTCACAGCTTCTGCAACAGTTAGAGTAGAAAGGTCGACAACTTTCTTTCTTGGGACTAATGAAGGTATATCTGAATGTTTAAAATATATAGTCGATAGGTTATTATCTTCAAATTCAGACTCAGAAGTAGGTGATTTTTCTGAATCGGAAGTTTTATCTTCAAAAACTTGATCTGATAGATCGAAAGAAACTTTACGAGTAGTAAGCACCGGAGAGGACTGTGATGCATTTTTAAGGCGTTCCTGTTTTCGACTAAGAGAATGTTTCTTTTTCCATTCAATCTCAGCATCTGAATCGTACTCCTCCCTGATTTCGATTTCTTTTTCATTTTCAAAAGATTCTGAAATAGGATCAATTGTTGACGGATTACTAGAATTCTTTGATACAGAAACTGATTTTTGTGAAACCAAACCTTTTGTATAAGCAATTCTATCACTTAACAGCGTTTTTTGTTTATTTAATCCATCTAATTTCACTTCTAATTGCTTTATACGACGACTGAGAAGTTGAACTGTTTCGTAGACTGATAATTCAGCAAAATAATCATCTGTCCCACCAAGATAAACCAACAATTCATTTGTATGGATTAGACGACCTCGAACTAATGCTTTACGACTGAATGGGATATATGCTTCTTTATAAACTGATTTCTGCAGCTCTTGAATTTTATTGCTTACAGATTCATAATCTGACTTAAATTTTTCTAACTTGGTAATTTCTCGTTCAGTAGCTTCAATGTCAGAAGCCTGTTGAGAAAGTAACCGATTAAAATTTTCTGAAGTCATTGTCACTAGAAATTCATTCTGTAAGACGATTCAGATATTAAATAAACTGTTAGGAACAGTCTTTAATCTTTATAACACCTGAAATGAGAATTAAAAAAAGGAAAAAAATACTCATTAGCATACTAATGATGTAAGCTGAAAATACGGAAACTGCAACTGTACTAAATACCAACAGTAACTTGCAATTTTTCCTCTAGATTACCAATCATTATCTAATTAAAATACATTAGACGCCATTAGACAGAAGATGGTAAGGCGTATAACGGAACTTGAAATTATGACTAGTTGACGAGGAACCAACAGTACTTTGGATGAGTTGTTATTAGAAGATAAATCAAGAAATAAGGGAGTAAGACTTTGAAAATGCAGTGATTCTGCTTCCAATTATATACCAGGTGATAATAAACTTAGAGAGAAAATAAAACCCTTTTGAGTTAACCTGCGCGAACATTCCCCAATACCTAAGTTTATTAAAAAAATTAAAACCATAGAGTAGTAAACTAGTCTAAAAACTGAAAGAAAATGCAGGCATTTAAACATTAAGTCGTTTCTGTTAGAGTGGGACACTTTGATACAGTCTAATTTCACATTAGATCAGTGGTGACGTTAGTAAGGCAACAGTACTAAAATAAACACAATGACTCCGAGGTGTTGACCCATCCCTTGACATATATTAATGAGCTAGCTTTGTTGCTTATCACCCTACACCTAAACATGGTTTCTATCAACATTTGACAGCAGCAACCTGTTTCAAATGATTTAAAGTGACTGTCTATCTGGGTAGAAAAAGTATTTACAGATTCAATATGATCTGTGTAGCAATAATGAACATGCCTTAGACAGACCAACTGATATGGACAAAATAAAAAATGGAAACACTGCCAGAAAAGACAAAAACAGGAAGTCGTACGAAGATGAAAGGCGCTAGTGAAGCTAGATGTGACCACCGTATAGTAAAAATATATGAACCTTTGTATTATGGTATTTCTTAGATATATCGAAGAAGTTTGGAGTATCAAACCAAAGCAACAAACTTAGCACTTCACCGTGGGAAATTGCTATAACATTTCTCGGTCGAGAATTTAAAGTCAATATGAAAAGTAGTGGATGTTCCGGAACCTATCAAAGGGTTGGCACTTGATCAATGCACCCTCTCCTGAGCCTGAAACTTGCTTAGTTTTCAAAGCTTATATTACCTGTGCTCAACTTCGTTTTTACATGATCCTGACCTTAAATACTGTAGTCAGGTTGATCCGTCTATGATTATCGTAAAAGGATGTTTCTTTTCTGGAATAATGACTGACATACACTTGTTTGATGGAACTATCATGTATTTCCATACATTAACTAGTAACTCATACGTCAGTTGTTCAATGGTAGAATGCTCGCCACTCACACAGAATGTCCAGGTTTAATTCCTTAGCAAACCTTGTCCATTCGGTAGTAAGCCCAGAAAAGAGGGAACTATTTAGTTCGCATGGTTCCACTATCATAGATGGCACTGAAGTTAGAACTAAATCGAATGTTAAATACATTATACTGTGTATTTTCTCTGATCTTTCCTGGTCTTCCCACATCATGTTATTTTCTAGAAAGAGATTTCGTTTAACGTTCTACGTAAGGAAGTTAAGACAATCTGACACCACTCAGTTTCTACTTTCACAGTTTGTTAATTTTTGTATTCTACCTATCCTCTATTGCTTTCCTTTAGTCTTTCCTGGGCTATTTAAGAAAGATTTTGTTAGCAAAGAAACACAGCTTGAAGTCTCTTAAAAATAACAAGAGCTTTCAACATCTGAACTTCTTTAAAATGAACAGCAGATATTACTAGCCTAATCTCTTGCATTCTGAGCTTTGAATGTATATAAACACATAAAATGCAAGTGTAGTTATTTTGATGAGAATATAAGGTTTATACTTAGCAGATAACTAAGCTGAGATACGACCACTAAACTTATGGGGTATGAAGAGGTGGACAGTTTTCGACTATAGATGTCTGCATTCAACCGCTTGTGTTAGGTAGTACAATACAGTCGGTAATGCTTAAGTTAGACACTAAGTGTTAGATAAAGATAGTATGCAGTTTCACCGACCGATATATCTAGGACATGCGCTACACACTCCAAGCCCCCACTTTCGTTGATGAGCAATCTCACCTGAAGAAAGTTTGAGCCGGAAGAGTTAAATGTGATCAGAGCAAAACATGTAACTAATCCATGACTGCTGGTGTGAGTCACGTAGCAAAGTGCAGATAGCCTGGTACGTTCTTCAACATGTTTTTTTTTTTTGATTTACAGCTTGATTTCCACACCGTATTTTCAGTACAAGTGTGGAACTTTCAGCATGGATATCGGTTGCCCAAATTCAGGCATACCATAGATATCGGGTGTGCGCCGGCAGGGGTTCGAACCCCGGACCATGTGCATGGTCGGCGAGAGTCCTAACCATTGTGCCACCGACGCACAGAATCAATAGCCCGTGATACTGTAATATGACTTGAAGTGGCTTGCAATGGAGTAGATGTAAACGATATCATTTAATTCTCTCTCTCATGCATCTCTGTTCAATGTTTTTTTCGTTGCTTCTTCGAAATGTGACACTTTGAAGAGATCCATTTTTGTGCACAGTTCTGTTAGGCCATTCAGGAACAATTTGATTAAGTATCATTCAATTCAGATAACTGTTTCACCAAGAAAAACGCTGTCTAGGGTTAAAGCGTTACTGTTTTAAAAGAATGAGCTCCCCAAAAAAATTAAAACCACTACGACATTCTACTATGTGGCCCACCACATACTGAACAGATTATTAACACCAGTATAAGGTATCAGAGAAGATAAACGATATTAAACTACATTCAAAATTAAGATAATCAGTCAGGAATGCTATTCTTGGACTACAGTCTCAGTTCTATGCATGCATATTTTGTTGAGTTGTGTAATGAAATTATAACACTCGTAAAGCCACCAGAGGCTACATATACATTCTGCGGTAGCTTAACATGTATTTATTGAATACATACTGGGCAGCCTCCGAAATATAAGGGAAACTCAGAATGCGAAAAAAATTGTCACTTGGTTTAAGAATCGAAATTTCCATGGAGAAATATTAAACTCTTCCCATGTTCAACAATACGATAAAACATAACAACCATATTGTCTGTTACTTGACTTCTCACATATGTACTACTTTTTCACTTACGATACATTTTTCCTGCGTGGAGATGTGGCTAATTGGCTTGAGCACTTGGTTTCCAGTTGAGGAGTCACAGGTCCGAGTGCCGATCCACCTAGTTCTGTGTGGAAAACTGGTCAGTATCATCAGCTCTCGCATGAAAAGTGTGTCTCCTAGTCAGGTGCATGAAAAATCTATCCCGATAAGTTTTTTTTATTCCTTCACGTTGCCAGTGAAACATAGGGCTTCAAGCTAGAGGCTTGAAGTTTCTGTAACAGTGTTTATTTTTTACAGGATGGAGTTGCTAGCCTCATGCCCAAACTTTCCTCTTTACCAGCTTTATTTCTGGCTTAGTGAGGTAAAGGGGTGCGTCGGCCGGCAATCGAACCCTGGACCATGTGCATGGTCGGCGAGCGTCCTAACCACTGTGCCACCGACGCACCATTCCGATAAGTGAAGTTAGGAAAAAACATTTTTACCGTGATTATACTAGTTGTCACTTTTAGAGTCACTATGCTTGTCATTCACCTGAATTGGTATTTTAAACCTCTATGAGTACCACATTATTTCACAGAAGAACAGAAATGGAGTCTTATTACCTTCAATCTTATAGATATACCCAGTCGGTGAATTTTTTTTGGGACCTGGGATATGTGGGTAAAAACGCGGGCAGTTTTCCGTTCAAATTTGGGCAAAGTGGGAAAAGTGAGCTGTTTTCGGTTGTAACATGGGTGAAATGGGATTAAGTGGGCTATTTTAGAAAATGACATGGGTAAAGTGTTCGCTGAAAAGGTGAGCTTGAGAAAAGTAGGAAAATTAAATTTTTCTGAACATGGGCGAACGGGGGAAATATGGCAAATATAGGTAAAGTGGGCAAATTATGTAGCATTTACACCACCTTTTGCCCAACTATTTGCCATCGAAACTACCCATTTAGCCCACATTACCCAGGTGCATTCTCTGACTGGGTATATACTATGGTTCGATGTTCAGGGTTAATAAGCGGGTATTTGGTAGTAACTACTACAGTTAACCTCACGCCTAAAGTACAAATATGATATCGTGACGCTCTTAAAACTGAAAATAAGAACGAAGAACGTACGGTATGGAAGAAGTCACAAACTCATGTAGTAACGCACTATTCATTTAACCCGGTACAAATTTAATAACGAAGTTACAAACAGGTTGTAACGGAAAACCATAAGAAAATTTTCGCGATATTAATTTTTTTCCTAATAATTCGCATTTATGAATATTCGACACCATTCCAGTTTCATTCTCCTCATGCTTCACTGTTGATGTGGACAGGTTTTATTGTGTATCGATAACCTTGGTTTCCTACCATACAGCAACTGCAGGGATGACGTCTTTGTCGTTTCCTGGACGGCAATTCGTTAGTAGAATCTGTCTCTTGGACACCTGTCTTTGAGGTCACCTATCCTTTCAGCCTGGAGTTATCTACTAATATATGTGTACCAGTCAGGGTTTTTTAGTGAACGTGGCTTGGACTTAGATCGACCACGTGAGTTTCGCCGTTGAAGGGATTTCGGACGACGGTAGGAGGAATTGTCAGGCATGGTGGACCCATGCATCTGCTGGATGGAGTTGCATGACTCTGTCACTGCAGTATCCTTACTCGAAGTGTGTTTGGTAACTGAGCATATTTAAGACACTGGCCGTTTAGTGATTTCTAGAATTTTATCCACAGAAATAGCTAAGTCACCCATAAGAACACCCTGAAGTGTCACAAGTACAGTCTGTACTGACTGTGGCAGTTTGGATAAGAAGAGTTCTCTGAAAAGTCCTACACTGAACTAACTTTGGCCAATAACCTCCCTCATTCTCGCCAGCATGCTCACGGCTGACTGATCCCCTAACTCGATGTTACGAAATAATTCGTCCAGACGCTGTCGATCCATGAAAACGTTTCTCCTGAGGAGGGATGCTTTGAGTTACTCGTACGAGTTACTTACCTCTGGACTCGACATCTGCACAGTTGCGCCCTTTCTGAATTCCCGCGGTATTGCGTGAATAACAGCGAGGAACTGTGAACGTTGATTGGTTATCTCATGCTCACAAAAATCAGACTCAGCTATCTGAAACCATGTTTCCGCATCATCTGACCAAAATGGTACGAGCAGAATGGTTTTGGCAGTTGGGCGAATATGAATGACCTTAGGACTAGGATCACTCATGGTGGAATATATGCTGATTACAATAGAGTACAGGAACAAGCACAAAAAGGAACGAACTCACCAGATTTATCTGCGTATAAATTGAAAATGAAGTTCGTGGTGGGCTCACCAGTTTAGAGGCTGACGGTATTGACGTTCGCGAATTGTGCGGAGTACAATAACGCAAGATCTTACACCAACAACTTCTATAGTATTCGTTCCTCATGCACCAAAGGCAAAGCAAAAGACACTATCTGATCGTTCAAACTACGAGATATATTTCGGGACCAAATCGTAGACCGAGATGAATGCTTAGCTGGCTAGTGATCGTGCACGAACGTGACACTGCGGAGTGCCAAATAGCATGGATGCTTGACCGGAAGACTTCAGCTAAACAAGTCGATTTAAACAGTGAGGGTCAGCGTTCAATGTTCAGTGATGATCGCTGTGGTCAATAATTTCGGGGATTTATTTACCGCTACAGTACTCCCCGGAAGAACCTGCACAACACGCGGTGACTATGGGACCCAATCTTCAAATACCTCACCTTTCACGGGGACAAAGGTTATATGTGGAGAATTTAACGCACCGAAGTCAAATGGGATTCACTTAGTTGGTAGCTGTATGTGGTAGATCCATAAGCATCATGGGCGACCTCAGATGAAAACCAATCTTCACTATTAGGAGGTGGCAACGTACTAGACTTGGTGTTCGGCTACCATTTATGCCAACTCTAATCTTTTTCTCCCTGTGTTTCCAGGTGATAGGATCCCACACACTTTGTTATTGTTCAATTATCTTAACGACTGTTAATCTCGCATAAGTGGTATATCATCAATTATCACGCACTTTGTTATTGTTCAATTATTTCAATGACTGTTAATCTCGCATAAGTGGTATATCATCATTTCCCACGCATTTTATTATTGACTATTACGACCAATTATTTCAAATACTGTTAGCTGTTTGTATTGGTTGTAAAAATGTATAAATACCATTTCCTAAATAAGTTTCTTTGTCGTAGTTTGTCGTAGTTGTTGTACTACAATAGACAGTCACAGACCAGCTTTTGTCTTTTGATATATTGCGTGGTTCGCTGAATCGGAAGGTACCAGAAGCAGATAGGCATATTAGTCAGGCGCAGATAGAATAAGGCGACAACGTCCTCATTTAATTCCCCTACAGTTACAACAAATTGGCGACGGGGTTTACTTTAATTCACTACAGTTATAACACCAGGAAAGCATCATAAAACGGAACTGCGTGCACCTACATTGCTCTCAAGTAGCAGTGCAGTCAGCACGCCTACTGTACTAGATATAACACGCATAAATTATGACGTAGAAAAGCTGTCATCCCATACAATCACCGATTGGGAACACCAAATGAAGAGCACATTAGCAATGATTACCTCACAACAACAATCAGCACCTTCTACAACCTTAACAACTATTTAGACAAAGAAACTGAAGTGCAAACATAAAAAGATTTTAAATTTAAATGTCACAAACTTGTCCAAATTTATGGCAGAAGGAGTGACCTTAAAAAACCTCCTGAACAATTTTGTTCTAGCACTGATATGTATTCCTGTTTTCCAACTAGTCTTGTAATTATCTGGTGCGAATGAACTTATCCCGCACGCACAGGGTCATTGAAGAGTTAGACACTTGAAGGCCACTTTCGTCCATGTTAGTCATCCATGTTGGATTGTCGTTCCATAACCATTCATTTACACATTGCTTTTGACGTTTATCCTGCGGTTATTCACAAATGTCACGTTTCACCTCAATTTTGTTTCCGTTGTTGTTAAAATTAGTTATTTCGCTAGTTTCGATAGCTTTTACCACCAGGTCAGTTCATTCATTTCTTTGTAATTGTTTCGTACGTTGCATTCATGCGTGGCTGCAATGTTTTAGTTGTTTTTCACCTGTTTTGAAATAATACTGTGTAGAAGTTTTGGAAAATATGCTAGTGAACATGTTTGGGTGGCAGAAGCTGTTGTTTCCAGTTCATTTGTCGGTTGCCGTTATTGTTGCTGCCTGAATTACTTAATATGTAGAAATCTGAAAAAACATTGTATTTCACGTTCATGTTCATAGCATACAACAATCTACGAGTCAATCTGGTGAGGACAGCACGGTCAGAGTTGATATTAGCAAAGTTTTCGAAGAACATATTAAACCTGGAGAATTTAGAACCTGGTTTGAAGTTGAAGCTTTTCGAGAAGGTGAGTTTACCATCAGTGTTTCTATTACCAGTTAAAAACACCCAATATGTTGTGAGAGAATGTAAATTAAACAAGGTTGAACCACATGTCAAGTGTGAATCTATTGTGCTTGTATGTATTTTCGGGAACAAAAAGAAACTGGAAAGCAATCAGAAACCTCTTAAGGGTAAGTGACACATATGGTTGTTAATGGTGCGTCGGTAGCACAGAGGATAGGATGCCTGCCGACCATGCATATGGTCCCGGGTTCGATCCCCGGACGACGCACTACTTTACCTCGCTAAGCCAGTAATAAAAGAAGCTGGTAACGAGGGAAGGCTGGGCATGAGGCTAGCAACTCCATCCTATAAAAATAAACACTGCTACAGAAACTTCAAGCCTCTAGCTTGAAGCCCTATATTCCCCTGGGAGCGTGAAGGAATGAAAAAAAGTTGTTAATGCCTGATATACTCAATCCAAACACGTGAACTAGAACTGTTTGTAGTAAAGCCAATGTTAGCAGCCATTCAATATGTTGCAAAACGATTTAAAAGCGGATAGCATACGGTGATCTGGTGAGCGTACGTATTGTCCAAAATGAAGGTAAGACTTGAATTAGCAAGCATAACGATTGGGATTGTGGTCTACAAAGAGCTGAGAAGCTGATTATTATTCGGGGTGAAAACACTGGCTGAATACAGATTGCTTGTTTCAGTTCAAATAATCAAATTCTTACTTTTTGGATGTTTGTAATTTCTCGATGGCTATGATTACGGGATCTCCATGGTTTCTAAGAAAACTTGAAATAAATTTTCCTTGAACCAATGGTCTTCCTTTTCTTGGCGAAACGTTTATTGACACGATTAGATGAATAGACAGCAAAGTAGTATGTCCTGTGACTGAGCACCGTAGTCGCTATGCTTCGGATTAATATCGTGCGTCTTACTGTTATAACCCTATGGATATAGCTTTTTCCTCATGGTGCATCACAACGTCTAGAAGTCATAAGCTTTGTCTTCTGCAAATTTATTTTTACCTTTTAAGTGACCGCAAATAGTGAGTAATTTGATGTGATAGGATTAATACCTCTAAACGCTTTCGTGGAGATTAGGATATATTTACTTTTTCGACTAAGAGACGATCCTTTTACAAAGAAAGTTCTCAGGATGTCCACTTTTACTTTGTAATTCAAAGATAACGTTAAGTTGCTCACTAAAGTAGTAGCTACAGGAGATTACCTTCAGTGGAAACTATTTTAAGGTAGCTACGTAGCTTTAGGTAATGCGTCATATAAGCAAGCAGGGTACGTTGATTGTGTCTAAATATATTAAACGTTGTATAACTGGTCAAATCGTAGTTATTAAATACTAGTTAACCTTATAATTAATGAATGTACGTTCAAGCGTTTACTTTGATTTGCATACTTAGCTCATAAACATAATGCCTGCATCTGGTATACATTTAAGGCTGGTATGCTGTGTGATCACTTAGTCCGGTATACTTAACGTCAGACTTGACTTCTATATCACTATCATCAGTTTTGCAACGGTCATAGGAATTAGCAGCTTCCTTTAACTTTCTTTTCCATCGAAAACTGAATTTACAGTCTGACATTCGGGGGGATTCAGTTTGAGACCAGTTTCTGACTCCTGATAGAGAGCTGCTCATCTTAGTACAGTGTAGTTGAGAGCTAACAGACATTGGATTAGTACGATCGTCCGCATACTTGATAGGGTTCATTTCGTATGCATGTGTACATTAAGTTTGTCAAA